CCTCCCCACGGGGTGCCCGTTGTACAGGATGTAAACGCCGGCTTCTCGGTTCCCGTAGATCTGGTTGCTCCGGATGACGCCCTTCCCGTTGCCCAGGACGACGATGCCGGAGCGAAGGCCGCTGTGGATCTGATTGCACTGCGTCGCGCCCAGGCACGTGCGGAGAGGGGCGAGGCAAAGCGGGAGAGATCACTCGGACGTGGCAGTGGGGGGGGAGCCACGCAGCGGGACGTGCCCAATGGGCCGCGGGGCTCCCAAAAGCAGAACCCCCGTCAGCAGCCAAAGTTGGCTCCATGTCTAATTTCCCTGCAAGGACTCAGTGTTCCCTGAAATAACTTCCCAGCTGCCAGGCTGGGTCAGCCCCAAGGTCCATCTAGCCAGGATCCTCTGTCGACAGCGGCCAATGCCAGGTGCGCCAGAGGGCAATCTCTGAGTGATCCACCCTCATCTCTCTCTCCCTGCTTCTGGCAGTGGGAGGCTACAGACACCCAGCGCATGGAGTTGCACCCCTGACCATTTCGGCTAACAGCCCTCCATGGACCGATCCTCTGAGAACGTTTCTCGTTGTTTTCTGAGCCCAGTTATACATTTGGCTTCCCTGGTGCAAGGAGTTCCACAAGTTAACAGTGCATTGGATGGAAAAGGGGCTGGCTCCTATTTACGTTAAACCTGCTGCCTATTAACAGAGGCTGGATCTACAACCCTGGCATGGCTGGAGTCCTGCCTCTATGTACCCAGCTGCTATAGCAGCACTGCAGCTATCCCCACCCTGCTCAAGGGTCCTGATCCTGGATAGGCCTGGGGCGGAGCGTCTTCCTGCCCATTTGATCCCTGGCGTGCTGTAGCCACACAACTAGGGGCGGATGGGACAGACGTGCAAAAATGCTCCGTCCTAACAGCTCCCACTGAGCCCGACAGGGGCGCCCCCAGCTCACAGCAAGACCCCACTCGTCCCCTGGGTGGCAGTGGTTGGGGGACGAGGCTGGGTGGGGAAGGGGAGGGGGTGGAGCAAGGGCGAGAAGACACAGGACCCGGGGTGGAAGGGGGTTTTCCTGGCCCTTCCCTGCGCTGGGTGGGGCACGTGGCCAGTCCCCCTCTCCCCCGCCCGAGTGCCTTCACCAGCTGTCCCTGCATTGGGGGATTTAGCTTAACAGCCCGTTTGCCTTCGGCCCCGTCCCAGCGCCAAACGAGCGGGCTCCGGGGGGGCTGGATTCACCCCCGAAGAGCCAGCGGGGGCGAGAAGCGACCCGGCTGGGATCTGAAGGCGACTCTCGGGGCAGCTCCGGCGGGCCCCAGGCAGGGAATGCACCTACCAGGATCAGCGGGTTGGCTCCCTTGCGGATATCCACCCCCGCCTCGCCGTTGGAGGGGGTGGTGGTTGAACACCCCGGAGGCTTTGCAGTGGTGAATGTCATTCTGCAGCATGACCACCTGCGGGCGGAGGGGGAGCAGCTCAGGCGAGGGGAGCCCGGCCTCCTGGCTGCCTCGCCACCCCGTCTGACCAGCAGAGAGAAGCGATCCACAAGCTGCTTTCACATGGCCCCACTTCCATGAACAACAACGGATCAGGAGGGAATTAAATTCCCCTTCGTGTGCTGGGCTCAGCCTGTTACACATGGAGCGGAGCTGGCGAGGCTGCCCACTCCCGCTGCCCCAGGGTGGAGACCAAGCGCTCAGTGGAACGCCAAGCCCCGCTCAGGAGAGCAATGGGAACCAACGGCCCCTCTACTTTTGCCCGTCCATGGGTGGAATAAATTTTGCTGCGTGCACCGAGGCATGTGTGGCTGTGCACCACCCAGCAGAGCCGGCAGTGGGCGCTCCGCTAGCCAGCTGAGTGGCACTGGGGTCTCTCCTGGTGGCCACCCAAGCGCTGATGGTAAGAGGGTGACGAATGCGTTGAGCTCACTCAGCATGTGTCCCGCCGGCGGGTGCTGCTGGCAGTACGCGGCGCGAGCCCGGACGCAGCATCGACAGGCGGCGGTCGGCTGCCAACAGCCGGGAGAAGAGGCAGGCGCTTTTCGCGTCCTCGCCGCTCTGCACTAACAGCAAGCGGGGCAGGGATTCCCCTGCACAGCTTCTGAAGCGGAGAGATTCCCTCCCGCAACCGCCAGCCCCGGATTCCAGCCTCGCACGGGCTCCCCGAGACACTGGCGGGGCGGGGCACAGCGAACGGGGAGCAGGCCACCCAGCCAAAGCAAGCTAGCGCGGTAGAGACCCAACGGGTCTCAGACGCCAGGCCACGGAAACAACCCACAAGAGCAAATGGAACGGACTCGATACCAGCGCTGGAGCGAGATGCCTCCGCTCTGCCTCCCTCCCTAGGGGGGCAAAGGGCTGTTTGGGAGGGCCCACAATTCGGCAGACACGGAACGCTGCTGACGGCCCCCTTCTCCCACAAAATCCACCGTTTCGTGGCTTGTTTCCTGCTCTCTGTACAGGTCTCAGCCCTCCCGTCTCACTTGGATTTGCTCCTCCCCGGCACCGACCCAACAAGGGAGCGATTTGGATTAGTCCAAAGCGCGGGTTTCCGTGTGTGCCTCAAATACTGGCCTAAAAAGCAGCCAGCTACTCTCCGGCATGAAGGAGCAGCTGATGCTTCTGCAGGGCATGCAACGCCAGGGCTTCGCGCGCCTGTTCCAGACGCAGCAGCAGGAGCCCAGTAACGACAATGCGTGCACAGAAACCACCCTATTTTGATTAGTCGGAAAACGTTTTGGAGTCTGGCTGGCTGGCAGCCCCCTCCCCTTCCCGCCCCTCCCCTCCGTGCCCCGCAAAGCTTCACGGTTTTGGCAAAGAACTGAGAGCCACAATAGCTGAATTCCGAAATGCCGCTGCGTTGTGGCATGGGAGCTGTAGTTCACAGCTCTCATGCTTCCGTCCTCCTTTATGGATTGGGCTCCCTACTTAAACTACATCTCCCATGATGCACCGTGGTCTCCCCTCTTGGCAGCCAGTGCTGGTGCATCATGGGAAAAGCAGGTGATCTAGCGAGGCTGGTGCATGCAAGAGCCTGGAGACAAGCAGCACCCGCCCTCCAGCTCCCACTGGGCTCCATTCACTGAAGCCGCCCGTCCCCCCAGAACGCCCACGAAGCCGAGCGCGGCCGTAGCCAGCTCCCCGTTGGCTCTTGGGCGCCTGGAACAGCCCCCCAGCCCCCTCCTAGAACAGCCTGTCAGCCTGCACTAGCAGGACCCAATCTGGCAAGACTCCATTCCCGCGCTGCTAACGGGCGCCCCTCGGACCCCGCGGCAGGGCTGGGAGCGCACGTCTTTACGGGGTCTCCAGCGAGCCTGGAGCTTTGCAGCCACAGTCGAACGCGCCCAGAGCCGGCTGCCCTTGGCCTCTAGCGACTGGACCCTGGACCCAAGCGCTTTCGTCAGCCCCCGCCCGGTGCGTGGCCGGGGGGCGTTACCGGCCGGCAGCGCACCTTGCTGCTCTGGATGCAGCGCACGGCGTAGGTCAGCTCCCGGAAGACGCTCCCTTCCAGCCTGGCGCGGCCCTGCGAGCAGACAAAGACCCCGCCCCCCCCGTCCCGGAACAGGCACTTGCGGATGAGGCAGCCCTGCAGGGAGCTGGCCAGGGCCTGGGCCTCTCTGTCCCGCTGCAGCTCCTGCGGCAGCGTGCGGAGCGCCAGCTCCCGCTGC